TTTTTTTCTTTTTTTTTTTGTGGAACCAGGGATTGAACTCAGCCCCTTGCACTTGCCAGGCAAGCGCTTATTCTACTGAGCCATCCCCCCGGCCCTCCCTGATTACTTTTTCAACCCTTTATTTTATTGTATTTTTGTTTTATAAACAGAAATTGATTTCTTAGTTTTGCAGGCTAGCAAGTTCAAAGTCAAAGTACAGGCAGATTTGGTGCCTGGTAAGGGTAAAACGCCTGATTTTGAAAAAGACATTTGTCTTTTCTGCTGTCTGCTCACATCCCGGAGGCATGGATGGGGCTCCTGGGGTCCCTCTGCAAAGGCACTCTCTTGTGCCTGAAGGCTCTACCCCCACGGGACTCATATACCTTCAGGTGACACCATGTAGATCAAACTCAGATCATCTGGGGTAGTCCTCAGCACATATACAGCATCTCCACTTTTTTATCATTTGAGAGATTGGGGGCTTCTGTGTGACATTACTTTTTACGTATGAAACATTTTTCACTATTACAGGAGATTTAGTATTGCTGGACAGCTGCAAGCCAAATGGTGTAGGTGTTCATGCCTAATTATAAATGACTGTTATTTTATTTTGTTTTTCAGGTTTTTCTGAAGAGTGATCGAGTGGCCAGAATGGTGCAAAGCGGAGGATGCTCTGCCAGTGACTTCAGGGAAGTGTTTAAGAAGAACATAGAGAAGCGTGTACGCAGCTTGCCAGAAATTGATGGCTTGAGCAAAGAAACAGTGCTGAGCTCCTGGATAGCCAAGTACGATGCCATTTACAGGGGGGACGAGGACTTGGGCAAACAGCCCAACAGAATGACGCTAAGTGCTGTGTCCGAACTTATTCTGAGCAAAGAACAACTGTATGAAATGTTTCAGCAGATTCTGGGTATTAAAAAACTAGAACACCAGCTGCTCTATAACGCATGTCAGGTAAGAGCTCCATGCTGTTTTGCATCCCTGTCTCATCCAATGGGCACCGAGTGTTTATGAGCCTGTGAGGATCAACTTTCCACAATAGCTTTTTATGGAAAGTTGAATGAAATAGAATTTTAATAGAGAGTGGTAAGTGAAAAAAAAGTATTTAATAGAGAGGAGCATTTGTATCATCGATGAAATGACTCTTCTCATAAGTCCTGCTTTGGGACATCATATTTTTGCCTATTGGGTAAATATGGCGCATGCCCTGATTCGTAAAATGGTAGTAACCTGTTACCTGAGGAGCCTTGGCTCTTTAGTTTCTCATCGGTGTAAAAAGAACAAAAATTCATAGAGATAGGATGCCAGTCCTGAGTTTATAAAAGTAATTGAAATTTTAAATTTTTCTTTAACCTAGTCAGATTAAAGTATTGATGATGATTGTTAAAGCTATGTAATTTAAAGGCACGACACACTTAAAAATCTATTTCTGCTTAACTTAATAAGTCATGCATGTGAAAAAGTGAATGAACTCATGTCTCATATTTTTCATTTTTAGGCCATGTGATTTGTCTAATAATTATTCTTTCTGTATTTGCATGTTAGTTTCTTCTGAAGTCTAAATTATTGGTCTCTACCTTAATATACAACTTAAATTAACAAAATACTGGAATTTAAAAATTCCTAAGTTCATTAAAAGCCAATCTTTATAATGTACAAATGTTTTTTAACCTTTTTTTGCAGATATATTTCTCTTAATTTCTACATTCTGTCCATATCCTTTATTTTGCATTACTGATTTATGGTTAATTTATTATGAATAATAGTTAATTAATGGCAAAACAGCATAGAATTTTAACCCCGTGAACAATATATATTTACCATAATTGTTCTCACTGTCATTAAACCAGATGGTAGTTCTAGAATAGTATGGAGGGGGGTAACTGTAAAACTAAAATATTCTACCTTAAAAGATCAACACAGCTATAGTTTTGTACTTTGTAAAGAAAGTAATAGCTCACTTGTATATTTCATTGCTACTAAACACAGCTTCATTGTATGATTCAGATTCAGACATTCAGTAGATATTTGTAGAGGATTTATTCACAGAATCTTCACTTATGTATTAGAGAAACCAAATCGAGCAAAATAAGATATTCATTCTCCATGTTCGGAATTATAATAGAGCACCTGTAAGTGAATTAATGCTTATGATTAGAATTCATGCTAGAATTTTTTTTTTTTTTTTACGTTTGGAAAGATGATCTGCTGTATTCAATATACAAATTCAAATGTTAGTTTCATTCAGAAGTACCCTCCTAGATATATCCAAAATAATATTTGCCCAAATATCTAAGCACCCAAGGCCCCATCAAATTAAAACATAAAATTAACTATCACATCATTCTTTGTGTACACAAGTGCATGTGTATTATAGTGATTAAATGCAATTTTCATACATTCTAGTTAGACTTAACATTGTAACTGTGCTCTACAGCATATAATACACTTCCGTATAAATTTACCATTCAGTCTTCACAATAGCTAGTACTATCATGAAAATATTGGAGGCTCAGAAGGATGAGCTAATCTGTTAAAAGTCGCGCAGCCAATAAGAATTAGAATCCAGACCCAATCTATGTGACCTGACGTGTCCAAATCCTTCCTACTGTGGCTGCTTCAATATTGCCATTTGTTTCTTGAGCATTTTTTTGATTTGTTTTTAATTCCTTTTAATAAAAAACGATAAAATAGCACAACATTATGGAACTCTTCATGCATTTGCAGGTCATCCTAGCACAGGGCCATGCTAATCCTCTCTGTATCATTCTAATTTGGTGTATGTGCTGCTGAAGCAAGCACCATACTGGATGTTATAGGTTGATAAAAATGTATTCCTGTCTGCCTATGGGTTTATGTTTATTAACACAAAAATGTTTTTGAGTTATCTGTCTTCTAATATTTTCCACTGTCTTCCACTATCTTCTGAGACTTGGATAATACAGTAATTCTAACTCAAATCAACAACTATTACAGTGGATTTCTTTCTTTTTTTTTTTTTTTTTTTCTTTCACTTTTATCTGTATTTCCCTCATGTATTTTGATCCTTAGGAAAATGTTTATTAGGTTTTTTTGTTTTCTTCAGGAATTATCTTCCTTATCACTAGTATACCTGATAAACTTCTATTCTCTAAAATCTACTTCATTTATACTAACAGAGCTACTACGGCTTTCTCATGATTAGGATTAGCATGAAGTACAATTTTCCCATCAATTTAACTAAGGAATTTTTAGAACTGGAGATTGACCTAAGGCCTCATCCATGCTAGGCAAGCAGTTTACCACAGAGCTGCCCAGCCCGTTTTAAATTTTGAGTTAGAGTCTCAGTAATTTGCCTACAGTGGGTATAAACTTTGAAGTCTTGCCTCCATATCCTGAGTCATTGCAGTTACAGGAAAATGCCATTGTACTTGGGTCTTCAACTATTCATGTTTTTTTTTTTTAAGTGCATTTGGTACAGGGTCTCACTACACAACTCAGACTCATAGTGATCTGGACATGTGGTGCCTGGGATTGACGCCCAGTCCCTGCACTGGCCTAAGCAGGTGCTTAGTCTGCTGAGCTATCTTGCTGGCCTCAACTACTCACTTTTAAACTGTGTTTTTATTTTTTTTCTACATATTAATTTTATTGAGAAAGTAGTAGCAATGAGACAGTTTCAAGACAGGACAGTTACAATAATTAACACATTGCATATTGTTGTCTTTGTAGTAGTTATTCATAGTACAAGATGCAGAGATATATCTTGTCTAAACACTATACACTGAAAAAAGATCTACAAACTACTGTACAGGGTTTCAGGGTACATCCTGAGGGGATTTGACTGACCTTGTCAGATATAAAAGTTATGTTTTTTTGTTATATGGGTCTTGCTTTGTCTTGGTCTTAACCATCCAGCAGAAAAGTATAAAAATGAGGTATAGAAAGTAAAGCCATATTATTATGCTGAGCTGTTAAAGGCTCAAGTCAGCAACTTCTGACATTGCCAGTCCTACAGATAACCCACTACTATTATGGACTACTGGACTGTATTGGATTAGTTCGCTGCATTTATGCACCTACAATATGTAAATGGCATTGAATACCCATCTTTGACAAAATTAAACAAAACAGGGAGATATAAATGGAGGTCCATTTTGTACTGAAAAAATTTATATGTGTGTGTGTGTGTGTGTGTGTGTGTGTGTGTGTTTACAAAATAGCGTAGATATATAGCTTTCTCTTAGTTCAATGAGAAGAAAGATTTGAACTAATTGTTTTTATTTTTAAAGTGATTTGTTTTTTTAATTTGGTACAGGGTCTTACCTCTGGAACTACGCCATTCAGAGTTACAGTGATCCTCTTGTCCCAGCCTCCCCAGTGCTGGGATTACAGGCATGCACCACCATACTGGGTTCTGGGACCGTAATGGCATGCAGTACTGGGGATCGAACTTGGGACCTTGCATTGCCAGGCAATGCTTAGACCACTGAGCTATCTCCCCATCCCTCTAAAATGAGTTTCTTATAGGCAGCACACTGAATCTTACGAGTTTTGTTTGATTTTTTTCCATGCTATTAGCCTTTGGCTTTTAATGACTTTTTATTATTATTTGATTTTTAAATTTTCTTATTTAATGGTATATTTTAGGCATATATACTGTTCATATTCATTGTGAGCAATTTGTCCCATGCGTGATATAACTTGATTATTTTTCCCCATTCCACTACCCTTCCAAGCTTGCTTCCCCTCCATATTTGCAAAAACTTTGTTTCTATTTCTTTCCTTTTTTCCTTGCTTTTTTCCTTTCTTCTTTTTTTCCTTTCTCACCTCTAGTTCCCCTTCGCATTTGAAGATTTTCTTTTTATTTCTAACTTCTATTAGCTATTTTGGTCCTTAATTATACTTTTGCTTTTTCACCTGCGAATGCAGTATTTGCACATATGTGTCCAGTTTATTTCATCTAAGAGGATGGTCTCAGGGTGCGCCCGTTTGCCTAAAAATGGCTTAAGTTTCTCCTTCATTATGGTTGAGTAGTAGTGCATGTATAATAACAAATCTTTAGCCATTCATTGTTTGCTAGGCATTTGTGGTGTTTCTAAATATGGATATTAAATCTACAACATTTTTATGGAGTTTTATGGATCTTTTTTGTAGAGTAACACATTATCTGCTTTCTTTCTAAGATCTGCAGTCTCAGGCGCGAGCTTAGTACAATTTTGTCCTCCTAGCTTTTGAGCCTTTGGGCTTTTGAGGTGCCCTCCTTCCACCAGTGACCCCTCTGTCCATCCATACTTGGTTATCATCCACTCCAAGGTATGCCCTTGCCTCTCTTGGGAGATGGGGAATGCAGGGTGCCCTCTGGCCTCTGCTAGATGTAGCCTGTGGGGCAAAGACTCAAGTGGGCCACTGGAGTTAATATGGACAGTCACAGGGTGGCTCCCTTCTCTCCCCTGGTATAGTTCTCATCCAGAATTAGACGAGTGCTTCAGTCCTCACCACTGCCACCCCATGCTGAGGGGAAGCAAATGGCAGGAGAAGTTGGGTTTGGTGTGTGGGCTCCCTTGCATTAGGGAGGTGGCAAACCTCATGCACATGCCCACATACTCATGGCAGGTGGGGAGGTGCCAGCCAGCAGAGCCCTGCTTCCTTGCCTTATTTGCTTTTCAGATTTATTTAGTTGTTGCCCCACAATTTACAATATACATTTAATGTACAATAATCAAAGGCTCGCTCACACCAGAAAGTTTCAAGAGTAGTACATGCACCCCAGAATTGAGTTTTTCCAGATCATCCTCCCTTCTATCTACTGTCATTCATTTGAGATGTAGTGTGCTATAATCTCTCTTGCAATAGTAGATTGTGACTATTTTAGAGTTTTATTTTGGATCTATTAAGAATAAGAAAGATTATGTATTTGGTACCATCTCTTGTTCCTTCTTGATAATCCTCTTTTTCTTATGTAAATCAGGGTTTTTTAACCTATAGTGTTTTCCTTACCTCTCGTCCATGTCAATTGTAGTAACTTCTCTTTTCTCCTGTCGCTTTCACTTTGCACTTTATATTTTCTCATGTAAAGGAAGCCGTACATTATTTAAGCTTGTGTGTTTCAATTATTTCACTGTAACGTAGTCTTATGGTCTTCACATCATCTCCATTTTCCTCCAAATGACTGTGACTTGTCCTTTTCTGTGGCATGGTGGTACTCCATTGTGGATAAACACTACATTTTCTTTATCCATTCGTGGATGGGCATATTCATAAGATTTAAATTATGTAAGTGTCCATTGTATGTTACCAATTTTGAGATTGCTATGGTTTTATAATGCTTGGTTCCGAGGATTTGTTGTTGTCATTGATTTGGGTTTTTTTTTGGGGGGGGGAGGTTTGTTTGTTTGTTTGTTTTTCAGCTCTTGCCTCTTGCATTTCCAGTTGAGAAATTTGTGTTGACCTGTCTCCAAGTTTTGTGAATTTTCCTCAGCAGCCTCATATCTGCTGATTAGATCATTCAAAGCTTTGTTCATTTCTGTTTCAATGGTTTTTAAAAATTTTCTAACATTTTCTTTTGTGTCTTAAAGTTTTATTTTCAACTGTCTCCATCGAGGGTACCAGCATATTAAAAATCAAAATTAGAATCCTTATCTAATAATTCAACACCTGTGTCACAGCTGAACCTTGTTCCAAAGTTTGCTTTATCTCTCCAGGCTGTTTCTTTTTAACTTTTATCATTCCTTTTATTTTATTTTATTTTATTTTATTTTATTTTATTTGCTGAACCGGGGATTGAACTCAGACCCTTGCACTTGCCAGGGAAGTGCTTATTCCACTGAGCCATCTCCCTGGCCCCTTAATTTTTTTATTGAAATCCAGATATATTGTTTCAGGTAACAGAAGTTGAGGTAACCATGCTTTAATATGAGTGCTTCCATTGAATTAACTACTAATTGTGTTGTGCCTAATATTTCTCGTAGCCATCAGTATGGGAAGCTTCAGCTTTGTCCAGTGCCTTTGCATTCTTCTCCACCTTGACTTATGGCTTCCTCAGGAAATGGTTATATCTCGCAGCTTTTCTTAACTGTGATCTACAGTTACACTGGAAATATGTGCAGCTGTCATAGGGTATTGGAAAGAAGGGAGTGTTCATTAATCTGATTAAATATTAGTCTTCAGTCTTTTAGAGGATCTGTCTGAGAGAACCTTTATGAATACATCTGTCTGTCATGGATATCATTCCCTTCATCCCTTAATTCCTACTCTGGCTATACCATTACCAGAGATTTTCTTGAAGTTCTGTACACCCTGATCACTGAGTGTGTGTGTGTGTGTGTGTGTGTGTGTGTGTGTGTGTGTGTGTGTCTGTCTGTGTGTCTGTGTGTCTGTGTGTTGTATTTCTACTAGAGTAGATTAGAAATAAGTTGTCAGTATTTCCCTTTGGCAGTGTTTTCCTTTCCTTAATGAGAAGCATCTGAAAGATGTAAGAAACACTTTTCTTTCTACCTGCTTCATGGGTCTCTTTCTTGGGTTCTCAAGGTAACAGCTTAGTGGGTTGGCTTGAAGGAAAACTCAGCAAAGTACGACCCCCTTTATAATGATCCCTTCGAAGTTTCTTGTTCGTTATCCTCAGCTTGTAGTAACTTGTCAAAATTAGTAAGTAAGCAGTTATTTCTGCCATGTGTGGCATCCATTGACTGCTGCTCCAAATATCTTTTGGGGATTGTCTTTCTATATTTTGAATTAGTAGTTTGCTCCATATCATCAAGGCTCTGATAAGCCAAAGACAAGTCATTGGCTTTGGGTATACCTATCTTTTTCTGTAAGAATGG